GGAGTGTTATACATTTATAATAGATACATTTTGAGCCACTGCAACGCGTGGCCGGGTACAGCTAGTATTTTATAAAATGTTTGATATATATAGTCTATATATATGTAATTTGCTTAATTCTAATACACAAATACTGATATAAATCGATTTATTTAAAGCTAAGTTAGTTTTTTTCATTTAAAAAATTGTGAAATTATCGTTTATGTTTATTTTAGCCCACGCTGTCTACAATCGTATGTTTAACATAAAGTGTCAAGAGAATAAATTCAGAGCAACGCTGAGGTGTCTAGATTTCACGAGAGTTAAAATTTTCTATATATTATTGAATTAATGTAATTCTTTTTAGTATTAGGAGTATAAAAATATTTTGACTATAAAATAAATATATCTTCAATATTTTACGTTAGTATATTAGAGTGATTCAGAAGCATTAAATTACTTACCTTCAAATTTTGCATTATTGATACAATGTTTCACTATGTAGGGTGGATGTAGAACGAAGCAGAGTAAACCTGTGTTATCATATACGCTTTCAAGCTGAGTATGATGCATTGAGAAATTAGAAACCGAAATTTAATGGCCTAGTTCTGGTTTTGGATTTGATATTACAAAATCAAAATCACAGGTAGATAAATTAATATTTGGCTACACACATGTTAACAGATAATTAAGCTTATTTTAAAATTTGATAAGATTTTAGCTTTGAACGAGCCAATATTTATTGCGTCGTGGTCACAATGTTGAGCTACAATTTTTTTTATTAATTTTACTTAAAATATATACTCTTCGCCTCAAATTAGTAGTGGCTTGAAGCCCTGTACATTAAATTTTTCTTTTAACAATACAGTTGTGACGATCATCTATCTAACATCTTCTGGGGGAAAATTTTTGAATTAAAATAACATGACTTTCTGTTTGCGTTAGACGTTCGTATATAGTTAACTAGTAATATGAACAAATATACAAATGAATTAGAAAAAAAAAATTACGCTAAATGGATATCCAAACAGAATAATTAGTACTTGGGTAAAGATATACTAATAATATATTCTAATAATAGTAATATATTATAAAAATAGTAGAATGTCATTGGCAACGGCGAAAGTGGAAACATCATTCGCACTTGTTCGCAGAAATGTTGTTCGCCTCACGTCACTGCCGAACGGAAAGTCCGTTGTTCGCAGCCAGTTCGTTGCTCGAGTCACGTAACAGCCAAACAGAAAGTCCGTTGTTCGCAGCGTCCGTTATTCGAGGATTACGTTATACGAGACACCACTGTATTTATATAGGTTGATTAAATATAAGATTGAAAAGACACGTTGCAGATTTAAAATACAACAGATTAAATTTCGTTTTCCACGATCACTGTTTATTGAATAATTGTAATATTGATAAGTCTAATGTTGAAATTTTACATAAAGAAAGAAACGCATGTAGCAGGAAATTTAAAGAAAGTTTCGAAATTTTAAAAGCCAACAATTGTATTAATAAAAACTTGAGTTTAAAAATAAATGAAAATTGGTTAAATGTCTTATAAAATAATTTTAATATACTAGTTGGTGTTTTTTTTATTTGTAAATGTAAAAAACAAAATATATCACGTCTATGCACAGGCAACATCCAATTTTGGAATTGTTTATAATAATTTAAAACTTACTCCTCAGGTAAAATGTCCTTTTTAATATTCGTATACTGTTTATGTACAGTACTTATGTACTGTCGAGTGCAAAATGGTTTTCCTCATCGTGACGTGACGTCACGTCACGTAAGTGACGTCATTTCACCTGTCAATCATTTCTACCTGTGCTCCCATTGGTTTAAAATGGACTGCGCCGTTTTATGATTTATTGGGGGGTGATAGGAATGATTCAAGAGGGATTATGTTAAGCACTAAGCTTAAAAATCGTAATCGCAGCTTTTTTAATATAATCACGTTGTTTTAATAAAAATCTGGCATTACAGTCATCAGAAAATACGATTATATCGTTTATTTATGTAATTTTTCTCCTTTCTAACGTTTCTTATGTTTATATTATTGTAATTTGATCCAAAAATGCAAAAGAAAAACATATCTAGTTTCACTTCCGTTCAAAATCTCTCAGGTTTCACTGCCTGGCATCGGCTTCCTTTGTAATTGGAGAGAAA